TGGAAAAGTAAGAAGCAGAATGTAGTGGCAAGATCTAGTGCAGAAGCAGAATACCGTGCCATGGCCTCTGCTACGTGTGAGCTTATTTGGCTCAAACAGTTGCTTAAAGAACTGAGATTTGGCGAAGTTACACAGATGACTCTCATATGTGATAACCAAGCTGCCCTTCATATTGCCTCAAATCCAGTATTTCACGAGAGGACCAAACACATTGAGATAGATTGTCACTTCATTCGTGAGAAGATTTTATCTGGGGACATTACTACTCAGTTTGTTAACTCTACTGATCAGTTGGCAGATGTCTTCACCAAATCATTACGGGGTCCTAGGATTGATTATATTTGTAACAAGCTTGGTGCATATGATCTATATACACCAGCTTGAGGGGGAGTGTTAGATATAATTTTATCTTATAGTTTTTATCTTATAGTTTTTATCTTATGGGTCTAGGCCCACTACTTTGTATTTAAACACATCTTGTGCTTTGCAATACACAAGGAATATGTTCTCTCCATTCACCATTACTCTCAACAGTCTACAAAATGAAGCGTGAATGGATTTTGTCCCAAAGCTGAAAAGAGTGTTTGCAACCAATGACTCTGGATAGAATCATTGCAGAGAGAGAAGACAGCAGTCAGGAAAGTAACAATTGATCCTGGAGTTCCTAGGCATGATAGGTAACATTTTCAATTCCTAGGGATTTGCAGAGAGGAATTGAATCAGAGTCTCTGGATAACAACAAGTGATGCAGATGATGTGCCTTAACAACAAAGTAATTGGCACATTGGGTTGTGAGTTGAGACAATTGAAACAACTAAGCAAAACCTGCATAAGATGCATGTGAAGGAAACGAGACTGGATCGGGTGGAAGAGGAGGAGTTGACAGTGTTGCTCCCATATTTTTCAGAAAAGAAAGCTCGGAGGCCATAAAAAGAACCTCTCAAGATTTGAACGTATAATAGTGGAAGTAGCCATAATAGTAGAAGTACAGAGGGGATGTAAACTAGAAGATGGAATCTGAAAGTGTAAATTGTATTTCTTAATTGAAAGGTGAGTGGACTACATTTATGTATAGAGTCCAAGAAGAGTCTCAAACAAGCTACAGTAGATGCTGACTCAGCACAAATACAGCAGAAACAGTAACAGCCTAACCAACTAAAGGAGAAAAGAATATATCTGTTACAGAGACTACAATGAAATTATACAACCACTATATCATAATCAAATTAACAGATATAGTTGCATTGCAGAGACTATATCTCTAACACATACAAACACACAACTGCTTACATTTTCCTGTATATTAGCATGTAATAAAATGTTTACACATTCACGTGCTTGTAGAATAAATTTGATGATATAAATGGAATTCCTTCAAAACTAAACCCTACAGAAATCACGGACACTGCAAATGTGAGCTAACTAGTGTGAGGATGATCACAAAATACTGAGTACACAGGTGAATGTTGATCACAGAATAAAATTCCAAACTCCAACAAAGCAAAATAAATATGATATCCAAAGCTCACAATGTGAAAGACTTGTAGTGGGGGAAAAAAAAAGCATCATGGGTTTTCAATAATTACTCAGTCACCATATATTGATCGTCTTTCTTGTTGTGTTAGGCAGCATGATGCTCCAAGAATTAAAGACGTAGTCTGAAAATCTATTTTGTTTAAAAGTAAGCACCTTTTTAAACAACAAAAGCCTTATTCCAGTGGGTGAAGTAGACTACAAGTTGAAGTCTACTGTCTACAACTACGTTTGGATACAAGCTGAAAAGTACTTTAAAGAATTTCAAAACACAATTCCAAATTCCAATAGATAAAATGAAGAAGGAAGAATTTGTTTCTTTGAGAGTAAAGATACCTTTGAGCTCTCTCAGCTGAAATCCAAACAAGCACCACATAGATCACACAACATAACACCATTCAACTCGATTCAAGACCAAATACTCAGAGATATTATTTACCTCGACAATCCTCTTAATAACTTCCTCAACAACAACATCGAAAGCCCAATCCCACTTTTTTCAAATGGAAAAATAAAATCTCAAAAAGTTAAATCCAAATAACCAAGGCCTAAAACAAGACTATCTTCAATTTCTCAACAATCAACATTTTTATACAAAAGCACCAAAACTTTGAAACATGAAACCGGTAAGACCTCACTAAATCTTCACGGAACAGAAGGAAATTGACATGAACAACCCAATTTCGTACAACATCTGAAATAACGGACAGAATTTCATGGTTTTCGCAGCAAGCATTATAAACTCCGTGGTCCAACCAAAGAGGCGTGACTTCTAATCCTGTAATCATAAGTCTAAGCTTCCACATAACATCTTCCAAAGCCCAATTCAACCCGATTCCCTATTTTAGGCACGCAACCCTAAAAGAAAACTCGTCTTTTTTCCAACTAAAGAGAAAAAAGTGGAAAATTCCCAAACACGAAGGAGCGAAAAAAGAGGAATGGAGAGTGGAGAAAGCAAAAACTTTACCAAATGGGAGTGCGAGGTTCGGGGAGATCCATTGCGTGTGCTGAGAAAGTGCTTGATGTGAGGAGTGAAGTAATCGCCGATGGTTGAGACAACTGCGCGAGAATCAGAAACACTTAGCGAAAATCAGAGGAGACATGAAAGAGGAACGACTTGGGGAGGACTAGGTGTGTTTGGGGAAGACCAAAGATGTTTCAGAAATGCTCCGATGAAAATGTAACTAATAGTTACTCCTTTTAATGGAGTGTACAGATAAATTAATGGTATGTTTGGTAAGAAAGAAAAAATAGTTGAAGATAGAGTATGTTGAAATAGGAAAGAGATAAATAAATAAATGAAAATAAATGAGAATCTGGATTGAAATTAAAATGTCTGCTTTAAGGGAAAAAAAGAGAGATAACAAATAATAAATAAAAAATAGCATAATTTACTTTTGGATTTTCATATTAAATTACTATTTTAGAGTGATTCCATGATTAATCGATTAAATGCTTAAAAACACACTATTTTACATATAAAATTCACTAAAATCAATTATAATTATAATTTTTTCATAATTGATTATTTTATTTTTGTTGATATATGCATTTTATATATTTAATAATAAATTTTTATTTGTTATTTTATTATTTTTCTATAAATATTCTCATATTTTATTTTTAGCTAAAAAGTTTCCAGTTTATATAAATTATTTTAAATCTTTTTTCCTGTGACACTCACTTCCTTTTATTTTGCACATTTTCTTCCATCTTACTTACATCCTTCCTCTGCCAAGACTTTTAGTTTTATTCTTTTTTAATAATAATTTTCATCTTTGTCAACATAAGATTAATTCTGTGAATTTTTTTTAGGTGACTTTTCGTAAAGATAATATAATCAATTTTTGAAAATAATTTTTTTTTATGAAGATCCAACAAATAAATATATTTCATTTAATGGGATAATAATCTCAATTTTTGTGTAGATTATTTTTGGGGTAAGCTAACAACAAGGTTTCCAATTTAACAAGAGTGTTTTGAAATTGTATATTTTTGAATAAGACTAAGATAAATAATACATATAATTCAAGAAGAGGAATAGAATAACATATAGAACAGAGTTTGATAAAGACAATAGGACACACAAGTATAAAAACTTAATAAATACGACTTACTATAACAAATATTATGATTTTTAATTCATTTTCAATAAAACAACATTGATCATGAATAAATACTTATATTTCGACATTGATTAACTTATTATATTAAGATAATCTTGATTGGATAAAGAAAATATGATTTGAATTTTTGATTAAGATATATTAATAGAACATAAAAATATTGTAAAAAATAAGACAAACATTAAAAGAAGGGTTGAACAATGTTTATTAAAAACTCAATACTTTATCGCAAGACATTAGAATAAGTAGTTAAGATCAAAGAAATGCAAATGAAACTCCAAGCGTGTGGTTCAGCGGTAGGGGTTGATTCACGCTTAAGCAAGGTCAGGGATTCGAATCCTGCCTTGTGTATGCAGCCGCGTTAAATCTTGGGGCCAACTATCTCACCCTTTGAGGTGCCTCCAACGTAGCGAGGAGATTAGTCATTGCTATCGGCGGTGGATACTCCGGGAACGAACCAAAAAAAAAATGCAAATGAATTAAAAAGAAAATAACATAAGGTATTTTTATATTAATTTATTTTACTTCATCTTACTTTCTTGTAGAGCAATATGTCTATTGGTGTAATAAATGTTTGCATTAAGTGTGTTTTATCAAATGGTCACTTCTTATCTAATAAAATATGTTGCTTATCACCTTTAAGGTACAATATGAAAGAAATAATACCATGTGTTAGTTGAAAACCACTTTTGGTTGACTTTGCATATTTTGATATATATGTTTGTCCTTTTTTTAACAAAAAGCAAGATCTTGTTCCTTTATATATTGTAGGTATCAAGTAAGCTTTTAATATTTATATCTGTTAAGGAATATAATGAATATGGGTGATATAAATATCAAACATATTAAATGTGGTATTTGAGGCATTCATAAGAGGTAAACAATATGTTCAGTCTAATGAGCTATCATGTGTATATACATCGTGTTGTATGGTTTTATCATGTGATTTGTGTCATCCTCTTTAGAATTTGATCTTTTTCTACTATGCAAATATGCCTATGTTTGTTATCATTAAAACACAATTTTTTAGTCTTAAAATTGTTCTTTAATCTAAAAATCTTTTTCTTTTTATGGTGACAAATACGTTTTTAAGAAACTAAGTTGTTAAGCATATAATATCTATAAATGTTCAAATTCATACAATATATGATCATACATTCGTAACATATGTATATTAGAGAGAATAAATATCATGTTAAATGCATATCTTAAAGACAATTTAAGGAGAAAGGCTCATCCTTAAATGGAGCATAAATTGTTAAGTCAGACGAAGACGGAAGTAATTCCCAGCAAGATTTTGAATGAGATAAATATAATACATATTGTTATTACTAACAAGTGTGTTAGTATTTCAGATATAAGTACAGGTAAACTGAAGAATAGAGAATATACATCCATACCAAAAAATATAAGAGATATGAGCCAAGCATTGGATAAAGGCTGAGCAAACGAAGGGGATACATTAGACGAAGACATAAAAATAGAATGAACAACCAAAATGAAGGGAGAAAGCTAACAAGACGGGGGATGAGGAGATCAAGCAATCAAACGAAATCAAGCCCAACACAAGAAGTAAAATAGTGAAGCCTCAGATGATACAAGACCGTGGACGATGGGCAAAACTAAGTTAAAGCACCCTAGACAGAGTCAAGTATCTACAATAGCCAATCAGACGGAGACTCGAATACACAGACGAAGATCACGGAAGCTGGATTGCGTCTGAAGACACAACGAGATAAACTACCTAATGTCCACACTCTTAGAAGAACATATCAAGTCATTAAAGTATAAGAAGGAAAATAAGACAAATGGATAAGCGCTTATCCACAAATCAAAATAGTGTGTGTTAGAGCAAGTACACCTACCAGCCAAGAAAAGACAACACCTATACAGCAACAGTACTAAGAAAGTACAAGAAATCTCGAGAAGTGCAAATCCAACAAGCAAACGTTAAATGCTAAGTCAGAAGCATTAAATGTCACATTTCATGAAGACTGTACAAACCAAATGAGAGAATCAGATGATAAGAAATCAAGCATAAGGACAAAGTCTGTCATTACCAAAATGAGACATCAAGGTATCAGACAAAGACTACAAGGAATAGCCAAGGCAAGACACGTACCAACAAAAGTCGAGATAGATGAAGCAAATAACATAGGAAATCAAGCATCAATAGATAAATAGTTGGAACACAAACATGTACCAGATGATCACAAAATATTCAGACAAAGCTATGTCAAGTGGAACTACTCTAAAGTACAAATCAGACGAGGGATGTGTCCAAGGCTCGAAGAAAGTCAATCCTACATCAGATGAAAGTTAACACAGACTAAGAGACACTCCAGAAGGAAACAATATTTTCCCATTCACTTTGTGAATCAGATCAAAGAAAAATCAAAGCACTAAATTTAGATGCTAAAGTACAAGTTAACCTTGAAGTGCATAGGACCATTAGACGAAGACGAAGAGTGGGACGCAAGCAAACAAGGAATCACGTCTCAAGAAACAAGCGAAGGTATCTATAAAAATCCCAGAGCACTCAACGTAAAATGCATACGAAGAAACAAAGAGAAGTACGCAAAAGCAGAACATGCATGTGTTAGAAAAAGTACATTACTTTTTCAGAAGAGGACAACAACTATATTTCTGCAAGACTAGAAAAAGACAAATAATTTCTTGGTCTCAGATAAAGTCAAACACTACTGCAACAATACAGAGAAAAATATGCGCATTGTCTATAAACGGGAAGCAACATTTAATGCAAAGAAAAATGCATTAAATGAATAGATCAAACTAGTCGTGAACAAATATATCTGCTTCAACGGACAAATGCAACAGGCAAATTCTATAGGCCTATAAATATGCAATGTCATCAAACCTGAAGGTGTGGGCAAATAGGCAATAAAAGAATATTCATAAGCTTTGCCCAAGGGCTAATTGATTAGAAAAAGAAGAGTGATGTCAAGCCCACGAAACAGAGAGATCAGAGATGATACTCATAGTCATATGTACAATGTAATGTTGTAATTTTATCTCTGTAAACTAAGGTGTTCAAAATGTTAGTCATGAACAAAACCTTAGTGAGTGTTGTAAACCTACATATCCTCTCCATAAGAGTAACCCAAACACTCAAACACGAGTCTCTATAAAACTAAGGTAGCAAACCTTAGTGAGTGTAGTAATTCTCAATCCTCTCTGTGAGAGTCATGTAAACGCTCAAACCAAACATACTTAGCCAACTTTGTAAAGCCTGAAGAGGCTAGGAAAAGAATACTTGTAAAGCCCGGAGGGGCTTGTCAAAGAATACTCACTGCTAGCCAGAAGTGGCTGATAAGAAAATACTAGTGTTGGTGAGTGAAGTCGACAGGCTAGGAGTGGTCGAGAATACTTGGGGAACCAAAAGTGATTTAAGAATACTAGTGTTGGTGAGTAAAGCCAACGGGCCAGAAGTGGTCGAGAATACTTGGACCAGAAGTGGTATAAAAATATTAGCGCTGATGAGTGAAGCTGGGGGGCCAGGAGTGGTCAAGAATACTTGGGCCAGGAGTGGTCGAGAATACTTAGGTCCAGGAGTGGATGACAATACTCATGTACTTCATTGCATATATAGTGGAACCCTTCAAGTTGAAGGAGATTGGACGTAACTCACATGAGCGAACCAGTATAAAACAATTGCATTCCTCTACTTACTTAGACACAAATCTTCCTTATTAATGAAACTTTTATGAAAAACTTCGTTCAATGTTTATGTATCTTTTAAAAAAAAATTTAGACGAAGACACTGACTTTGCTTGACAAACTTATTACATTAAAAGTTTCATCTGCCACTTATACTTAAACGAAACTATTTTGAAAAGAAAAATATAAGAACTTCAATTAATATCTTTACAGAACATCTTCCCTACTGGACGATAAATCCTTTAGACGCATTGATAGTAAGTTAAACAAACTCTATTTAATCATCCGATATTCAAAAGTGCAGTGGACAAAGAACACTACTGTTGTGAAAACATTTTTAAAATACCTTTGTTCATACACACAAATATTCAACCCCTCCTTCTATGTGTTTTTCCGCTAACTTCATAAATAACCAAAAAGTTTCAATAACAATATAAAAAAAAACTACTAGTTTCATTTTTTTTTTCATTTTTGTTCCTCTACTTTCTACTTAATTTTATTTCTCTCCCCTTTTGACACCAACAAAAGTTAGTTCAGAGTTGAGTCCTCATCATTTGAGGTAAGATTCACTTGGAGCTTGTTGATCAACTTGAAGTAGCATTTGTTAGAATTGCATTATAGACGATGTACCTTGTCTAAGGCAGAAAGTAGAAGGGTTACCAAAGACTTTAGCCTTGAGATAATTTTAGTTTGTGGCGTTGTTGAGATTTCCGTTGAAGTACTTTTTATTATAATTATAGATTAGGTTACTTCCCTCAACGGACTCAAACACGGCAAGTGTACCGGCCGTACAAGTAGTAAAAATATCGTATCCACAGGGATTAGAAGGTAAACTAAGCATTCATTGGCTACTTGTGACTTGAGAACAATCCCAATAAATATGAATATGAATTTAAGAACAAAACTACTGGAATTGTTAAAACACAAATAAATGAATTAGAAATGAAATGGGGTGAGAAATGGTAAAATGGACACTTGAAGTTGTGGGGGTTTGATTTCACCAAACAAACACTAGTGAATCCTATGTCTCTTGTTACATCCATTGTTCAGTCAACCATAAATTTACTCAGACCTAATTCCTTAGAGAAAGAGCCTAGGTGCAAAATATTGAATATCAATCCCTTGAGTACTCAATACCTCCACCCGCATTACCGGTTAGGGTTTTAAGACTACTAATGGGTCAAGCCCTATCCCTAGGTACAATTCCCACTAGGCATATGTTCAGAACTAGTTTCAAGGATATTTCCCAATACTCAATGAAACCTTAAATCATGCAAAGGGTGATCAAGCCAAAGCAAGCATTAAGCATGGAATCATACACAACAAAGAATGAAACAAAACATATATATATCATTAACACAAAAGGATTACAATAAAGTTTGTTGGTTACATCAAAACCCCAATACAAAGGATAGAACCTCTCAAAACAAAGAGGGGAAAAATAAAATAGAGATGGAAGAGGAAAGGAAGAACCGAAGGAATGATCCACCATGGCCGTTCCCAAGCTCTGGGAATCCCTTCCACAGCTCCTGGAGGCGCCCCTGAGTGAATGAGGGAGAAAACCCTCAAAATTTGCCTTTTATACGCATTTGGGGAGACAGATTAGGTTTTACGCGCTCAGCGCGTTAAGCTGCGCGCTCAGCGCGGGTGCTTTCCCTGATGCTCCAATTGCTCTCGGCCTCGAGCGCGCTCAGCGCGTTTTACTTGCGCGCTCAGCGTGAAGCTCCAAAGGCTGAGAGTTTTCTCTGTTTTGTGCCCGCTCGGCGCGTTTTCTGGCGCGCTCAGCGCGGTAGCCTTCTCTGCTCCTTAATTCTTTGAGTTTCCACTCCAATGGCCTTTTTATCCTCAATTCTCTACTTGAATACCTGCATATACAAAAGAAACCAAAATGAGAACAATTAAAATGCAATGATACAAAGAATGGAAGAATTTGATCATTAAATCTTGTATAAAAACAAGTATAATTTAGGCTCATCAGGCGTAAAGTCCTTTTATCTAAGTATGGAGATATTAATTATAAAGGTGTTAAGTCAAAAGACGATCTTAGATTCCTCAGGCTTTAAGTTTTAATGATAATGAACATAGATATTTTTCTAGAGAAAAGCTTTCAGATCAATCAATAAGACAAATTGGTATAAGATGATCTACTAAGATGATTAGTTATCTTGATATTAAGTCTAACAAATAAAGCACTTTATCTATAAGATATTTATTTTGAATCTATATCATTTATGATATTTGATAACGAAATAAATCTTTGTTCACATGATTCATTAACAAATCGAAGTAAAAAACTTCTTTGAAGTTCATAAATAACGAAAGGAACAAAAAGAACATGTTTTGCTTTAAAAAAAAAAGATGAGTAGATCCCTTAAATCACATAATTCCTCATAAAAAGCTACTTTGACCTAACAAACGCATGATTCCACTCGTTTAGTACCTAAACGGTGATATAAGTAGCTTCCTTGATCAGATAAGAAGTGACAATTTGGTAAATGAATTAAATGCACCAAAGAACACTTCTCTCCACAAGGAACAAAAATGAAGACAAATGAAGCAAGCTTGGTGAGACGCTCAAAGATTTGCAACGGTCATCTTCACTGAAACACCTATACAAAGAAGCATGAAGACTTAGATAGAAGAGAACCATCATAGAGAACATATTGTAAAAATTTATTTTTTCTGTTAATATGCTTTGTATTTATTTGGTTGTATCATGTTTTGGTAGCAAGACAAAACAACATTATTATCTTACCCAACTTTAATTTAGTGTTATTGCTTTGAATCTAGAGAGACTTAACTATAAAAGAATATTTGGTTTTTTGAAGTCTAAAGAGGCTTTGTGTTCAAAAATTACTTGGTTGTTTAAAGCGTGAAAAGACTTTATGTTTAAATAATACTTGGGTAGTTATTTGAAGAGGTAAGCAAAAGAATACTTAGGTTGAACCAGAAGTGACTTCTAAAAGAATATTTGTATCTTTGAAAAAGATAGTAAAACTTGATTGGGTTAATTAAGAACTAGATGTAATCTCAGTGATTGATACAAACTAGTATAAAAACACCTTATGTTATCCTTTCTTATCTTCTATACTCTTAAAGTTAAGCTACTACTTCATTGTTTCAAAAAGTGAATTATCACTATTAAATTCCCCCTTCTAGTATCTCATTTTCTCCACAAAAAGGGCGCGAGGAGGAAAGTAGGAAAATAGTCTATATGGTAGAGAGATGTTATTGAAATTAGTGGGGGTTTTAAAAGTGACATGTGGTTTGAGACAAATATTGAATGGAAAGTAGGCAATGGGAGGGAGGTGGAGATGTGGCACCAAAAATGGTTGGGAATCAACCCTTTATTCACAAGCATACCAAGGTTTTTGCAAATTCAAGACAAAAGAACTGTAGAGTGGGGGGATATGGGTGTATGGGGGGATGGAAAATGGGAGTGGGGTTTTATATAGAGGCAAAATTGGTTTAGTTTGAAATTATCGTTGCTAGACAACTTCATCATGGTTGAAATAAGAGAACTTTATGGAGGTGCATAAGGGTGACACTTGGATATGAAAGGATGTTCTTTAGGGGTATACTTGGTTAATGCGTATAGAGTATTAAGGCAATATGATTTTCCATTGGAACTGGTCCCAAGTTATACAAGTATTTGGGAATCTCGTATACCATATAATGTGACTTTTTGTGTGGTGCAAGACAAGATGCAAACAACATATAATTTGAGAAAAAGAAATATTTTGACCCAATGATAAGAGGTGTTTTGGCCATTCTATTTCTCAAAGGAAGAGTCAACGTCTCACTTGTTGTTCACTTGTGTTTTTGCTTCAAGGTTATGGAATGAATGTTATACCTGGGTGGGTTTGTACACCACTTCACATCAAAATCCCACTTTCCACTTGCTACAACATTATCATGGTGGATTACAAAGGAGGGGAACGCTAAATGAGAATTTGTATGGTTCGCTATGATATGGAGTTTGTGGACTCACAAACAAAATTTGTTTTAAAATGAAATGCTGGGCTCATATAAAGTTGGGATTTGATGCAAAGAAGAATATGGTCATGGCTGGCTAGTAAAACAAAATGTGGGCAATACTTTATGTTTAATGTAAAGAACTTTTGTAAAACAATCGAAAGCTCAAGATTGATTATAAGAGACAACATCTTATGAATAGACATTGTAGTTACATTATGGGTTTGTAATTGCTATAAGGAATAATGTATCAACTTAAACCTCAAGTAAGGATTCACTACTACGCCTTACACATACTTTCTTTTATTTTGTATTCAATAGGATTTTTTCGGTTAAGAAAATCAATATATTTTTTTTTCTCTCAATAAGAGACTACATGTATTTTGGCAGGACAAAATTGCAAGTATCCTATATACCTTTTGTAATATTATTTATGGTACAACTTATACCCATTAATATATTTTATTTGGTCGATAAAAAAATACCAAGTGATGAAACGCTTTTTAAGTCCATTCAATTGAGTTCACCATTAGGATTGTGGCTAAGGTTAAGATAAGATCAATAAGACCTTTATCTTAGGCTTCCAACCAGTTTTAAGATAAGATCAATAAAGCCTTTACCTTAGGCCTCAAACCCGTTTTTTTTCATATATATATAATTTTATGTAATTAAAAAATATATTTAATTATATTATTTATAATTAATTTGTTAATACATAAAATTATACAATTATTTAAAAATGAATCTATATGTAAATGTTATTGTAGAATTATTAGTTTGAGAAATTTTATTATAATAAAGAATTTATATTATATTTGTTTGAATTGAATAAAAAATGTTATTGAAATAAAAAAAAAGATTAAATTTCATAAAAAAATATTATAACCTATATATAAAAAATAAAGGAAATGATAGTAAATATAACGAAAATGACAATAATAAGAACATTTGATTAGAAAGTAATTATTTTAATTTTTATAAAAAATATTTTTCTAGTTTTGATTATTTTATATAAATGTCAAATTATTTTATTTTATTTTATTTTTTCACAATTTATTTAGAAATATGAAATTACTTTGAAATTTGTATTTTAATTTCAAAAAATAAGATTTTGATTACTACATTATTCGAGATTATTACTTTTCTTTCCTTTTTATAAATTAAAATTACTAAAAATATTAACAAATAAATTAGTGTTTCATTATAAATATTAAATTATATTGAAAATTCATTTTTTAAATGAGTTAAGTATATGTTAATTTATAAAATATTATAAATAATATATGTAATTATTTTTATAAATTTTTTTTTATCAACTTCCTTAAATAAAGCTGATGTAATATAATAATGTCAGATCCATTAAAAAATAAAAAAGAATGTAAGAACCCATAAATGAGGTTATCCTTGGTAGCTACTCCAACTAGTTTGAAATTGAAGAAGGGAAAGAGAAAGAAAAGAAGGAGATGAGACGAGAAAGGGTGTAAAAGGCAAAGCAATGAGATCTCAGTAGAAACCACCGCAACCGAACCTAACGATCTCAATCTCATCAGTCATCTCATCACACCACACACGAAAATGCAAAACCCATCATCTTCACCATCACCGGCAGCAGCAGCAGCAGCAGCAGCAGCAGCAGCACCCCCTCCATCGCACCACTTCCCTTCTTCACTCCCATTCTTCAACAGCCTCCGAGATCCAAAGCCGAAACCCTCCCTCCTCCTCTACGCCTTCCTCTTCATCTCGCTCCTCTCCCTCACCCTCATCCTCTCCTTCTCTCTCTCCCCCTCTTCCTCCGCCCCTCACTCGGGACCCGACCCGTTTCTCTACCCGACCCACACCCACCGCCTCGTCTACCACACCCACAAAGCCACCCCCTCGCCTCCCTCCCTCGCCTACCTCATCTCCGGCTCCCGCGGCGACTCGGCTCGGATCCTCCGCCTGCTCCACGCCGCCTACCACCCGCTCAACGTCTACCTCCTCCACCTCGACCCCTCCGCGCCCCACGCCGACCGCGAGCGCCTCGCCCTCGCCGTCCAGGCGCACCCCGTCTTCAAGGCCGCGCAGAACGTGCACGTCGTCGGGAAGCCCGATTTTGCGTACCCCAAAGGCTCCTCGCCCGTTTCGCTCAACCTCCGCGCCGCCGCGGTTTTGCTCCGCCTGTCGCCGCGCTGGGACTGGTTCGTTAGCCTCACCGCCGATGCTTACCCTCTTGTTACGCAGGATGGTATGGCTCTGAATCGATTCGAAAGATTTGAAGTTGGTGGTAGTTTTTGAGTGATGGAAATGTCGAATGTGGATAGGTTTTTGTTGTTCTTTTGGCTAGGTTGGTGTTGGAATTAGGGACTATGTTGATCGGTTCTTTTTATTTTTTTGGCTATCAAAATGGTGGCTTTCAGCTTTTGCATTAATGTGACTACTGATTAGATAAACTTTTTCACTTTGGAGAGAATTATAGCAAGGAAAAGTGAAATAAGTTTTTCCGTAAGCTAAAATTGGCTTATGTATAAGCTAATTTGTAATAGTTTTAAAGTTTTATCCTATTAGCTTCAAAATCTTATGCATAAATTAACTTTAGCTTATGGAGGGGTTTATTTTGATTTTACTTCCTATTTTTGTCTTCTTCTAGAAGTGTTTCTGGAGAAGTTTATCCAATCATGTTTTGAATCTTTGAGGAAATGGTGTATGCAAATGGGACTAGTTTGTTAGCCTTAGCGTCAATGCTTACCTTCTTGTTATCCAAGATAGTATGCATGCTACGATGTTCAATTCAATTTGTGGTTTGAGGAGTGAAATACGTACCATTTTGATGCATGAAGGATTTGAAGTTATTAGTAGTCTTTGAAAGATGAAATGTGGATCAATTTGGTTATTCTTAAGGATTACATTGTTGTTGACTATTTTATTTTTTGGGGGTGAAAATGGAAAACTTTCATCTTTTGAACTAATGTGACTCACTGTAAAATTTTGTTTACTGTTAACCAATAGAAATCATGATAGAAATGACTTTTAAGGTAGTTATTGTAAACATCAACAAACTTTCCATTCATCATAGTTTGTAATTGGATGATAGTGAAAAATTCCTTTACATTGCCAGTGCATACACTAATTAGTAATTACTCTAAATGTTTAATGTACTAAAATAATGTTTTGGTTTCCATATGATATGAATATGTTACTTTTAGGTACTGAAAGATTTGAAGTCAGTGGTCTTTGAAAGATGGAAATCGCTGTTTTAATGTCCGAAATTTGGGAATGTTGGTCAACTTAGTCATTTTTAAGGTCTAAATTGATGTTGAAATAAGGAACTATATTGATGGACATTTTCATTTTTAAGGGATGAAAAAGGTAATTTTCGTCTTTTAGGTGCTAAAACAATGTTTTGCTCTCTTTATGTGATATGTATGTGTTGGTTATAATCATGTGTTTTGATTTTCTGTTGATGAATCTTTTGTGGGTGTATCAGATCTTCTTCACATATTGTCTTTTCTGCCTAAGGATATCAACTTTGTGAATCATTCAAGTTATATTGGATGGAAAGAGTAAGTTTGTGTTCTTTATTTTGTTTTGCATAGGGGATTATCTTGATTGAGTGGTCGGTGTTATATGTACTGTAAGGATGATACTTGTTTTCCATGTTTTTTGATGTGGTAGAGCAAAGAAGTTGAAACTGATTATTGTTGATCCGGGTCTGTATCTCTCTGAAGGGACTGAAATGTTTTATGCGACTCAGCAAAGAGAACTCCCTAGTGCTTATCGCGTGTTTACAGGTATGGATGGATTATAGTGTAATGTATTTGATTATCTGCATATTTTTGGCTTTTCATTTTATTTAGTTAGAGAGTGCCAACAACAGCAGGAGTGGAAAATAGGTATAGTGGGGATGGATGAATGACATTCATTGAGAAAGAAAGAGATAAGATCAAGATCAAATGCTTTTACATTTTAGGATAAATTTGGAATAGCGTATATCGAGGAAAATGAGAGAAGAGGAATGCTTGCGGCACTCTCTAATAGTCTATCTATTATTGACTGAAACTTATTGAAAATTACAAATTGTGTGGGTCTTGCATCTTATTTGATGAATTTCTCTTGATTTAGTGGTAGGACCTACAGAAATTATGATTTTCAAGTTTCAACCAATAATAGAGAGAGCATGTCACTAGCATTTCTCATGAGAAGATTGTCTAAGTTGAACATGTGAGTAAAAGACCAGCAAAGGCTCTAATTATAAAATTGATCAAATGGAAGATAACCTGATTAAATTAAGCAGAGGAATATGATAAATCAATGTAAATAATAATCTTCTAAATGGATTTATTAAAAATATTGCTCTTAATAAAGCTTGTGGCATCCATATCAAGCTGAATGTGATATGTGGGCTAGATCTAGTTACAGCTCTTTTTAAGAGTTTGAAAGTAATTGAGTTGAGATAGATAGAAGTTTGGTTGTTACTAATTCTTTAAGAAAGACTATGTTGAGGCTGCAATCTTTGTGAACAGCAGCAAGAGTATCTTTCTGAAGATAGAAGGATTTTTCATTTTAATTGCTTTTTAGCATGTGTTGAGGTTGCAATCTTCATGAGTTGCAACATCATTTTTTTCTGAACACAAGCACACAACCACAACTTATGATAAAATGTGGATTGCAATTTCAGTTAGGAGTAAAATGGACCATAGTAGAAGTTTGTCAGGCAGAGTGAATTGTGAAAAGGTGGAATTTTATTTAATGATACGATTGGGAAGTATGTGTTGTAATTAGAGGAAAATCTTCCTAATTAGAGAAAATATCGGTAGAATCTTCTAGTTTATTTTTCAGAATATTTTTTTCTTATTTCCTTATTTTGGAAGATTAGATTATTACAAATAGGTATAAGGAAAATGTAATATGCATGAATGATAATAAAAAAATCATTCTCCTTTTCAAGTTAGTATCAGAGCTCCCGATCTTGGGAGCTCCGTTTCTGCTGCAACAGTAGTCACCGCTTTCGTTGTCTGGCCACTCTGGCTGCCAACATAGCCGTTGGGTTGTTGATAGGGCAGAAAGGTGTGCCCAACTCCGGCTAACACAACGCCAGAATTCGCTTCGAGAAATACGTTGCCATGCGCCGCCACTGTTGCCGGCGCGTGTAGCTCATGCGCCTAGCTTTGGCGAGACCCACTCGCCGTCGCCATCACAGAAAGAGTCGCCGGAGCCTCCTGAGTTCGTTTCACGGGTCAGTGACGTCCCATTTGGCTCAGATTTGAGTAGATTTGAGTTTTGAGTTCTGCTCCTTTTTCCGGTGTAGCCCACACGTCGTCGTCGTCTCAGATAGGGTCACCAGATTGCGTTCCAAAGGATGTTTGAGGTAAAAATTATTCCTTTGGGTCCTAATGATCTTCCAAATGTGGTGGGTGCCTATCGGTTGGATGGTCGGAATTTCTTACAATGGAGTTAGTATATCCGAAGGATTCTTAAGGGACGTTCAAGACTGGATCACATAGATGGTGGAGGGCTAGGACCAAACAACTCTAATTTTCCAATTTGGGACAATGAAGATTCACTAATTATGACTTGGATTTGGCATTCCATGATTCCTGAGATAAGTCGAAATTATATGTTTCATTCTTCTGCCAGAGATATGGGATGATTTACAGAGTACATTTTCATTAAAGAAGGATTTTGCTGCCTGTTATGACATTGAAAGTAGGATATTTAATACAAAACAAGGCTCTCTTTCCGTATTAGAATATCATGGAATCCTGAATGGACTTTGGATTGAATTAGATCAATACCAAACAATAAAGATGTGTAAAATAGATGCTGCCGCACATGCTGAAGCCATGGAAAGAGGAAGAATCTTTAAATTTCTCCATTGCCTGAATCATGAGTACGACCCAATCAGGGTACAAATCTTAGGAAGAGAAAAATTACCATCCCTATCAGAAGTATTTTTTATGGTAAGAGGAGAAGAAACTCGGAGAGTTGTCATGCTTGATGGGGGATCTCCAACACAGGCTCTGCCATGACAACTGGAAAGGGGGTCCACAAGACAAGAGAGCAAATGCCGGAGGAAAGTCGTTTGAAAAAGGTAATCGTGGAGACTATTGTTCATACTGTAGAAGATCTGGACATACTAAGGAAACATGCTTCAAATTCCATGGAAGAAATATTGTTCTCGAGCGCATGGGAAACAACAAAGGGTCTGCTCAAAGATGGGCAAATCATACTACCTCAGAACAGGAAGCCACCAATCAATCCAGTACTTCACCACCACCAGATCTTGATATGAAAGCTTATAAGGAGGAACTCGAGCGCTTGAAAGCAATGGTTGAATCAATGAGTAAGCCCTCTGGATCATGTACTCTGTTCATGAAAGGTAAGATTTGTCTCAATATTGTTGGTCCTGCGTCTCAGGTATTTGGATTCTTGATTCAGGAGCAACTGATCATATGACACCGTTTCGTGTGTCCTTGCAACAATAGCTTTTATTAGTTCTTAAACACTTCATATATGGTTCATTGTTAGTATAGAACTCTATACTATTAATAGATTGACATTGAATCCAAATGTATTCTTACACTTTTGAAATCCAACCAAATGGAGTAGAATTACAAAAACAAAGCGTTATTCCATTCCAACCAAGTAGAGTTTGCTATTAGGGTTCTCGCTTGCTTGCTGTACTTTTTACGATAGGTTCATGGAACACAATGTGCCATAGATCCTTCTCAGTAGTCTCCACCCTCCAGTATGTTGTTTAATGCCAATTCAACATATTTGGAAAGGCTTTGTCTGTATTTTCTCATTTCCATGTATAGGTAATTTTATTTGAGCAAACCATCTTAAGCAATTTTTCATAATTGATCCTCTATAGGAGCCACTCAAACCTCCCTTGTGGAGATCTCATTCCTAATCTTATCCACACTGTTATACATACCCATATATTGCAACATCTTCATTTATGCGTTCTTCATCTCTGTTTTCTGTATCATTGAATGCCTAGAATATTGATCCATACATTTTATAGGTGTTCTATGATCACACAAAGTACCTATCATCTAGGGGTGTTCAAAATTGAACCAATCCAAACAAAAAACTACAAACCAATACAAAAAACCAAAAACTAATAGAAAACTGCAAATTAGCAGTTTGTTTTTCAGATTGAAATTTGAAACTGCTCCAAACCAAACCAAATCTCACTTATTTGTAAGTATATAATTTTTTCATATGCATAGTGCATGTATACGAAATTGACACATAACGTACATCAAATGTGTTATAAAATTGTAAGCTATTAAAACATGTTTCTCTCCAAAGGTATTTTATTAAATTGTAAGTTACTAAACTAAATTTTGAATGAAAATTATGATTTATTTATAATGTTCAAATATAATTTTTTTAAGTGACAAACTATATATATATAAGAAAAAATATATAATATGATAACTAAAATTGTATTAAAAAAATGTTTTTACTAAAATAATAAGATAATAATTAGTGTTAAATACATTAAGTGATCGGAATATTTTAATATTTGCATACTTTTAGGGGGGTGTATTGGATTGAGATTCCAAAAGACAATTTTAACATGAAAAAGTACCGTGTATTTTAATGGATTTTTAAAGACTTTGTAGGAATGTCATGACTTTTATGATTGTTTTTAAAGACTTTTAAAACTTGGATTTTAATCAAGGCTTTGTAATATAGATTTTAATGGGTTTTGATGGATTTATATTATAAGATTTTATGGATTTCATAGGAAAATATGGATTTGCAATACAAGATTTAATAAAAAAATATAACATAAATAATAAAAAAGTAAAACCAATACAATTTTCTATCTTTTGATAAATAATTACTTCTATCTTTTGATAAATAATTCACTTTAATGTCTTCCTAACTAACCATTTTTCATATATCAAAATTTATATTTGTCCTCCATGCATTGACATATTCTCTTTCATGCACTTGAGACCAAACAATATAATTAAAATTATGGTTTTCATTAACTGGTAATATTGAAGATGAAGATTCTTCCACTAATTCAATTGAAAATTCATCACATTCTTTGCAAATAAAGTTATGTAATGTTACATGCTAATACAAATTCAACTTGTGTTTTAAATAAAAATAGAGGTTCTGATTTAAAAATTGTGAAGCATGATTTAAAAAATACTAAATATTCTCTCAATCACATTTATTAAGGATGCATGACATAAATTGAAAACATCATTTTCATTTTGAGGGTTAATAAATATTTTAATATTAAATTTTATTAAAAATAAACTGTTAAATTTTAATAATTAAAAAAATTTAACAATAGATAATATTTAATAATGCAAAAATAATTTTAAATATTTAATAATTAAAAAAATATATTGATAAATTGATGTTCATCAATTGATAGATAAAAGAAAAAGATAGGAGAAGAATAAGAGATAAATGAGAGAAATGAATAAAAAGAGAAAGAAAAGAGATATAGAAGAAAGAGATAGAAAGAAAAAGAGAAGCAAGAAAGGTGAGAAAGAAGGAGAGAGAAAAAAATATGAGACGAAGATGAAAAGATAAATAAGAAATGAATAAAAAGAAAAAATGAAAATGAGATAGAGAAGAAAAGAGGAGAGGGAAACAAGAATGGTGAGAGAAAAAGAGAAAAAAAAGAATGAGAGAAGCAAGAAAGGTGAAAGAAAAGATATAAAAGAGAGAAAAAAGAAAGAAAGAATAAAAATAGAAGGAGAAAAAAATCGTGAAATCTCAAAGGTTTTGGTGAGATTGTTGATGAGTGAATTACATATAAATTGCATTAAAAAGTCTTGCAAAATCCAATATTCAAAATAATCCATTGAAATCTCTATTTTTGAATACCAACACACTTTTTTTAAGTAAAAAAAAAAAGCGTCTTAATTGAATACCACATGATTTTGATTGACGAACTCTTAAAAAAATTCTAATTGTCTTGATTGAATACCAAATATTTTTTTATATTAAAAAAAAGTCTTGATGAATATCACAAGACTTTTTTTTATAATAAACAGTCTTTTAAAATTCATTGAAATTCTAATCCAATATATCCCCTTAGTTATATTAAACAAATAACATAATATTATATAAATTACATTAAAAAGTCTTGCAAAATCCAATATTCAAAATAATCCATTGAAATCTCTATTTTTGAATACCAACACACTTTTTTTAAGTAAAAAAAAAGCATCTTAATTGAATACCACATGATTTTGATTTATGAACTCTTAAAAAAATTCCAATTGTCTTGATTGAATACCACATGATTTTTTTATATTAAAAAAAGTCTTGATGAATATCACAAGACTTTTTTATAATAAACAGTCTTTTAAAATTCATTGAAATTCTAATCCAATATATCCCCTTAGTTATATTAAACAAATAACATAATATTATATATTTTTAGTTGATATTTAATTAATTAATTTTTAAAACCACAAAAATTAAACCAAATCAAACTGCAAAATATTGGTTTGGTTCGGTTTAGATTTCATAATTCATTCAAACCAAATCAAACTAAACCGCATTTAGTTTTCTTATTTGGTTTGGATGACTTTTAAGGCAAAAACTGAACCAAACTGCATGACGATATTATCATCCATCTAAGGTTATAAATTTGGATGAATTATACTTTTAGTCCTTTATCTTCCTTTTTCATATGATTTTCACCATGTTTATTACTCTTGGATTCGAACATCAATTAAATTTTATAGTTTCCATGTAGGTGAATCTAATAAGACAAGTTTTAAGTTTTGAATCTATTAACAAAAGATTCAAAATCGTATCTTAAAATTAAAAATAATCACTATTTCAAAAGGACCAAATAAATCTAAATTTAGAAGATAAATGACCAAAATGAACATTTTAAAAGATAATAAATAAATAAATATAAAAAAAATAAGATAAAGGGTTAAAAGTATAATTTAGTCTATAAATTTTGTTTTTACTTTCTCATTGGTAATGTATTCATGAATGCTTTAAAGGAGTTTCTTTGTCGGACATGTAGGTATTTTGGCTGCCTTATTGCATTCTTGAGCATTTCTGCTTCTGCATGTTACTTTTTGTATTTATTTTCTTTTATATATATATTATGGAGGATATTTTATCCTGCTCTGTACTTGCCTATATTCTCAGTTCTCACCAATAATATTTCTTTTTCTATCAATACAACAAGCTGGGTAAATCATAGTCTTTTATTGTGCAGGTTCACCTTTTTCTATCTTAAGTCGCAGGTTCATGGAGTTCTGCATCTTGGGAGAAGACAACCTCCCAAGGATTCTACTGATGTATTTTGCAAACACACCTTCATCCTTGTCCAACTATTTTCCTACAGTTATCTGCAATACCCGGAAGTTTAACAAGACAGTCATAAATCAAAACTTATTATATGCTATCCCTGATGGCCGTAGAAACGATCTTCGACCACTCAATTCCACTGATTTTGATGACATGATTCGTAGTGGAGCTGTCTTTGCTCAAAAGTTCCAGAAAGATGACCCTGTGCTTGATCTCATTGACCAAAAACTTTTGGGTCGAAGTCCTAGATCAGTTGTTCCAGGGGGATGGTGCTTAGGTGAGCCTGGGAATAGCACGTGTTTAACTTGGGGTGATGCCAAGATTTTGAGACCTGGTACAGGTTCTCAACGACTTGAGAAGGCAATAGTTGAATTGCTGGCAAATGGCACTTTCCGATCGCGCCAGTGTATATATGAATGAACTGACTCTAGCTTGACATCTCGCAATGCAGCGGAATAGAAATCCACCTTGAAAGAAACTCAAAAGGATTGGTAACAACTATAAGAATGGTGTTTGTTCCTTATCTACTAAAAATCTTGTAGCATAGTCAGGGTATGGATTTTTTTGGGCGGTGCTTTATACAACATAGGTATGAATGAGTATGTATTCTGTTAGCACAATTAATTTTTTGCCATTTCTGATTGGCATTTTTATAATTTAAGATGAATATCAGTATAGAAGCACAATTACTTCGTCCTTGAACGCTTTAAAAAGTGGACAAAAATGCACCTCTAGGTGGGAATTCTTTCTGTTCTGTGTTTACAATTATGTGCCAAGGTGCTAGCTTCAAGTGCTTTAAATGTTTACACAGGTATGCTCTGTTACTGGTGTCTAAAACCACGAGAACATATTGGGTTTAGATGATGTGATGAAGTTGTTAAGTTACAACTTTATAACTAATAAGATAAATTTTGGTTTCTTTGGTAGGGGAGATAGAAACTGATGAGTATAATACATATACATGCTGCATTTACTCTCATTTCATCTTTATTGAACATTCTAATACTAAATTGGTTACATTTACACTCGATTGGGGATAATTATGTGTAAGATTATGAAATCTGTTGTACTAATATTTATAATGATGTGCAAAGAGTTATGTTGAAATATCATTGAATGATTTTGATGGATTCTGTGATGAAGTTAGATAGGCTAATACTATGATGTTGTATGATGAGTTGTTTTGGGATATTATTAAGTTGATGTGTTAAATGGTTGAGATGTGATGATGTATATTGTGATGAATACTTTGATGAGTTGAGATAAATAAGCCCAGTGCTGCGGATTGACACTCAAGGAGATGAGTTATGCATATTGTATAGTTGTGATGTGTATCAAGTCCAAGAAGGGTGAATGTTGATAAAGTTGGTTTGAAGAATTGTAGGGTATTTACCCTTATTTTATAAGGTATCCTATCTTTGGAGGCCTATTCTACCTTAAAGGATTTTTATTGTTGTTATACATTTTTTATTTGTAATTCATTTTAGTAGTAATTGTATTATGATATTTTTATCCATATATTTTGGGCCAAGTAGTGTAGGTAATTCTGTCCTTATATTACTTGAGAGAGTAATTAGTAGATTAGGGGATGTGTAACTAGTAAAGTCTTGTTAGACTTACTTGAGTTTGGATGACCTAAATCTTTTTATGGCCCATAAGTTTGGATGTCCACTTGCTCATGCAAGTGGTTTGGATGTCCAAACCATGCCATTCTTGTTATCCAAGCTACAAATTAAGTCACATGACTTTGATAGTGACATTTCAAAAAATTTGTTAAAAGTAATCATTAGTCTAGTAGTTGTAATGATTAAGTTAGGTAGTTGAAGTTAATTAAAGGTAATCTAGATTATTCTTAAATTAGGATTAACTTAGCTTGCTCTATAAACTTCTAGACAACTAACTAAATTTGTAGACATTTAATTAAAGTTAATTAGTTTAAATATAATATAGCTAGTCATGGTTACACTTAATTGTGGTTAGTCTAATTTGTACTATAAGTCAACTAAACTTTATCCCTAGCTTGCAAGGTGTTACGGGATGTGCCCTTTCCCAAATGAAATCCTAACACACTAGTAATTTGCTATTCACTAATATAAATATAATATTGGTAATGGAGATATTATGTTGAAAAATACCTACTTTTATTTAAAATATTAACACAAATAATACCTATATTGTTATATCTAAATCAAAATATTGTTAGTAGGAAGGAAATTGATTTCAAGTTCTTTAAGTAAGGTCTCAATTTGTGTCTTGTAGATGGAAAAAAAATGATTTAGAGATAAAACCTTATTAAAGATAATCAACAAACTATCCTACCAAATATTAATGTATATTAAAATTATTATTATTATAACCCTCACCAATGAATTATAAACAATAATTAACAAGAAATTAATCTTTATTAATTCAGTAATAGATAGTACAACCAAAGCGAATATCAAAAGGTGTGAGTAAACTAATATGACAACCAAAATACGACAATCAATCAAATGAAGATCTTCAATGGTAATTTTGAAATCCACCCTTCTTTATCAATAAAAGAGATATCCAAAAATTGATCAAGTGCGGGTCCACTTAAGTGCTTCATCCATTTTACACGTTTGGACTTATTTGCCCCGGGTCCTTTGTTTCCTTCCTCCACAAACGTGATGGTTTCTCTGTAGTTAAGTTTATTTTGCACATAAAGGTATAAAATAATGTTAATCAACGAACTATGTCATCTAAAATAGAAGATAGATTTAGAAGAAAAAAAATCTTATTCAGACTCAGAGTGGATGGGGTATAATATACAAGATAAAGTATAATTATTGGTAGATTGAAAGCTTATTATTGGTATAATATACATGAACGTGTATTATTAAAATCCAAACTTAAGAAAAATAATGATTATAACTATACTTTATCTTCTATAATACATCATTTTAAGGAGCTAAATCCAAATTTAACAAAATTTAAAAATCTTACTCATGACCAACAAAGTTCCAAGCATTCCAGCCCTCAGGTGTTACCTCACGTTACAATTTTTGAAAACAAATCCACTACTATCATTTGCTGACTCCCTTTCTTGTGCCGTAAAACACCCATTCCTTTTAGGACCGTATTTTCCAGTTGAAAAATATATTTGACTTGCCTATATTTTCATAACAAGTTTACAATCAATTACTACTTAGGTTCAATACTAGTAAAGTAAACTTTGTGTATGTTAGGCGAGTCTCAACTTTGAAGAATAATCCTCTAAAAAGAAATCATTTCTCCATATAAGTTAAATTGAACATACACTTTTAAAATAGTAAATAAATTATAGTAATATTAGAAACTCACTTTTTGTAATACATACTTTATTATCGGATGAAATTTATTAAAAATTATAAAAATTAAGAGAGAGATTCATTAAAAAGTGAGACCCACAAAAATATATATTTTTTTAATAAATTTTAGTAAATATTAAAAAGTATATCTAAAAGAGTATATTATAGAGTGTGTTGCCAACTTTTCTCAAAAAATTATTAAAAGAATATCAAATGAAGTTAATTTTATCGTACCTCAAAGATTGATTGACCACTCCCATATATGAAATCAAACCCACCTTGAATGTAGCAGTTATGGTAGTAATGACGACCATATTGATCATACAAGGTGTCTTGCACCCCTAGAAAAGCACAATTAAAGAAAACACATTTATCTGCTTGAATTCGAGCTGCTATAGCTTGTGTGATTGGAATTTCATCTGATAAGGGCGTGTTGAGTGTATTCTGAGAATAAAAAAAATACAAAATACGATATTTTTGTTTAATATAAATAATGATTATACTAGTCTCTCGGTCTCATAATAAATATTATTTAAGGATTCTTTTTGAACAAATTATAAAAAGTTAATAAATAAATAAAAGAGAATGGTTATTACAAATTATATTACTAAAGATGATATAACATAATAACAACTTTTTAAACAATATTATATGGAGTATAAATAAAATAAGATAATTAATATTATATTAAGAAATTAAAATATAAATTATTTGAAACCAATTTTTTTTTCTTACAAGACACTTATAATATTGATGTAGTAAACAAATATTTCAAAAGCATCCATACCGTGAAAGTAATGCCATTTGCAATAGTATTATTTGCTTTGGAATAGAAAGTGGCATTAAGATGATCACCCCATTCGATGCTCGTGAATTTGCTACCAGCTCCTTCTAGATAAATGCATGGTTTATTCCTCAGAATTAGCACCTGTTCTCTGATCAATTTCACAAAGTACATGATGCATAGGCTTATTAACAAAAAATAAAATGTGACAAAAAAATGTTGAAGATCAAACAATTCACATTAAACTTAACACAAGCATACAAAGAAAAGAACATGCATGAATAATTCAAAAATTTCCTACAAAAATGTTCTTATTTAATTTCTTAGATAAAAGTTCTTTTTTCAAAACAATTTTTATCTAATAATTTCATCATAAAATATTAGAAAGACTTATATTAAGATTTGGGAAATTAATTTTACTTGTAAACACCGGGAGAAATTTGAATGTGAATCCATTGAGAGTTTTGTTCAGAAACAGAGTCGATGGCACTTTGAATTGTTTCGAAATTTGCGTTGCCTGACTTGCTAACAGTGATTGTCTTAGGTGGATTGATACAATTTTGGGATTCACAAACATTTCAAGAAACTACAAACAACATAAAAATGAACAAAAATAGTTGAGGGAACTGCATTTTTGTTTTCTCTTTCGAGATGCAACTGGTGAAAGATAAGATCTCAGTAATGCCTTTAGTTTTATTACAAAGAATTGATATTGTTGTTATATTTATTGAATATATCTATATATATATATATATATATATATATATATATGGAGCATATAAAGTAAGAGGAAATTTATTATGATAGTTGAGAGGGTTAAAATATAACTCTTAGATTATCAAGTGAGAGAAAATTTGGGTTTAATCAAGTGAGAAGAAATTAATCCAAGGGTTATATTTTAACCATCTCATCTTTCATAATAAATTTTCTTTCACTTGATATGCTCCCTATATATATATATATTTGAATTTTTTCATATATATTTTTTTCTTCATAAAATCTGTCTTTAACTCAAAATAAGAGAGAAAAGATTTAAAGACTAACAAAAACACTAAAAAAAAAAATTTGTTTAATAATGACATATACTCTATAATAAAAACAATACTTATCATTAAAAATTATTTTTTTGTATACTATAAAAATATTTGAGATTTTAATGATAAAAATTTTCATCAAAAATAATACAAGGAAAAATCTAAAAGAATCCATTCCTAAAAACTATAAATTACTTATAAGTAAAAATTCATAAGGAAAATTTATATATAATTAATGGAAAGATCATATTTTACACAAATATTTAATATTTCTTAATCTCCAAGAATTGTTATTATTGTTTTTTATATGAAAATATGTATATATTATTTATGAGCTTAGATATGGTTTTAGTAAATGTAAAATGAATAAATTTTTATTTTGATATATGTATTTCTTTTTATAAATATCTTTTTGGACCGTGTAATATACACGTTTTTCATTTTTAGTCACAATTTTTTTTAAACTTTTGTTCCTGCAATTTTTCTTTTGTCTCTAGTTGCTTTTTTTTTTTTTTTTACCATTTTTGCATGACATGTCCATTAAATAAACACTGTTTCAAGCAGTGTTTTAATAATCGAATTGGACCGGCCGGTAGGACTGATTGAATAGGGAATCAATGGTTCAGTTGGTCTGAATTTTAAGTTGAATCGGTTATCCATTCAATCCAAACCAGATTAAATCAGTCAATTTTTCAGTTTGACCAATGAACCGGTAGGTCAAACTAATTCAACCACAATTTTTTTTAAGGGACCACAAACCACAAAAATAAGAATGAGAATTAAATTTTTTAATGGAAGAGCAAAGAGTCTTATTAAACATAACAATAATTACTTGTTCTAATGTATTTGTTTGTAATATATACAATTTAAATAACTTTTATAGTATATTATTAATTTTA